ATCAAGCTTGTCTCGGTCGTTACTGGTTAATCTTTGCACTTGCCTTTTAGACGTTGTCCTCATTTTGCAGGAGTTTTAGTCATATCTCCATCGTTTATGGGTAGTTTCCCCTGTAATTACTTTCATTGGGTCCGTTTGGGGGACATCTACATTTCCTATTGTAGACACGACTTTGAATTTTGCATTAGTTCCTGAGGAATCCTTGTTCTGTGGTACTTCCATCCTTGGCTACGTGTGCGGACGTGGGAAAGTAGTTTCCGTGGAGGTTCTCTGATTGTTTTTATAGTCAAATCTTGGTTGATTGTCCTAATTCTTGTTTTAATATTTGCTATAAATTCCCCCGAGAATTCCGTCTCGTTGATGGTAAGCTTGAAGTATTTTTGCTATTTTTCTTTCTTTCGATTTATCGTGTATAGTCATAATAATTCGTAAAAATTCGTTAAAATTCGTTAAAATTCAGGTCCTTCTATTTTCTCATATCTACTTGTCGTATGAGGTTTTGTGATTTATCTGGCATATTTCCATAATGGGTTTCCATAGTGTGACTGTTATTTCTCCTACATCGCACTCACCATTCTGTTCCTGCCCTGTGCCAGACCGACCAGCCCCTTCTCTGTTCCTCCCTCATATTTATATCTTGTAAAAGTACTACTTCTGACCTCAGTTCGAATATCGACTAGAAATCCCCCAAAGTCCTCTCGTCCTTAAGTTTGCCTCTAAGCCTCATCTTCACCTGAGTCAACATCACCTCCCACTAACCTGAAATACAGGACAGCCTCGAACACATGGCCCAACACTCCAGCTGAGTCATTGAAGCTGAAGTCCCAACCCCCATGACACCTTGCAACAGAGTAGCACATTAGCTAAGTGTCCACTCACACTGCTGCACTCCGCTCTGCTTCCCACAAATACTCAAATACCGTTTCTGACAGGGTGGAGTTGTTATTGCATGCTAAGCATGCATTCTTTATTCTTGTAAATAACCTGTATTTACATTTGTTTGGCATGGGGTTGGGAAAAGAGTAGTGAACTCTTTACCTTGATCCTGCTTGAATACTAAGCTCAATACAGCCCAAGTTTCAGCAGATTGAGAACTAAGGAGTTAACCCAGGTTGTTACCTGTCACAGCCTTACACCTGGTGACCTGAGTGAGCCCCACAGACCTCACACTTTTTACTTCTGTTCTGGGAACAGTGCCTGAAATGGCACTGCCATACCCCCAAACAGGGAAGCTTGCATCTGCAGCGAGAACAATGGGTGGCTTTGATAAAAAGCTGCAATCTCCCAACTTGGGAGATAACCTCAATACCACATCATTGGATGATGACAAAGACCTGCCACAGGAGGTATTCTCCAAAAGTGTAATCCTGCATGATGAAATCATGAGGTGTCATGACATATCATGACAATTGAATTGAATCAGACATTTTTTACATTGAAAATTTTGGATTTCATGATAGTTCATGACAAATTGAACCATCATGGACCATCATGTGCTGGAAAGGTTCATGACTGCAGGTGACACAATATGACATGATGCCTCATGGAGGTTCATGAGTGGTCATGACCTGTGTCACGACCCGACATATCCGTCACTTCCGTCAACGCGTCCTAGTGCCACTTGGCCCATCCTGCCCGCTATCATCATCATCCGTCCACCCGTCACCCTCATCCACACTTCCTCCCCCATGCGCGTACCTCCCAACCTAGGTTGCCCGCTTCATTGTTGTCCACTTGCCAGCCGGACAGCTTGCTAGACAGCCGGATGGCCTTTTCTCTTTTGTCCGCTTGTGGACTATTGTTCCTCCTTTTGTTCCTTGCTTGCCTTTTGTTGACCAAGTTTGCCGATATTAACTATTTGTTCCTTTCTTCATTCATTAATATCGCACTTGATCCGCCACTCCTTCTGGGCCGGTCCTATTTAGTTACTTGTGTTTATAACGTGTGTAGGTTACACCGGATGTACCTCAGTTCGTATATCAACTTGGATTCCCCCTCTAGAGTCCTCTCCTCATCATAAGGCTCCTGTCTGAAATTGGGACACCAATGTAAGAATGAAGCGCAGCGCTCCACCCGAGTTGCTGAAGCTAAAGTCCCGCCCCTCTGACCTTACGAGCCCGGATGACTTCATGCGCCTCGCAGGTCACCCGGATACATGTCTGACACATTCCTGACAACCTGTCATGAAGGTTCATGGAGTGTCATGGGGTGTGTAAGGGATGGACAGGGATGGGATGATGCACGCTTTGCATGCATTTCATTTATTCATTTATTCTTTAATATTCTTCGTAATAAACAATGTAAAACAACTGTATATATAGTGTCTGGGGTCGGGGAAAGGGGCTTAGCTCTTCTCCTCCCCCCCTGTCGAATACTAGCTTCATACAGTCTAGATTATCGACAGCCTGAGGATTGAGTCACCAAGGCTGGCACCCCAACTGGCCTTACAGAGTGTCATGTGTTTATTTTGACCTTTCCCCATCATGTAAACTGTCCCATGATGCATCATGGACATTCATAATGCTCCATGAACATGTATGATGAGTCATCAGCATGCATGAATATGCATGAGATGTCACAAGCACTTATGAACTGTCATGTGACAGACCTTATTTGTGACAGCACTGACTGATCAACCTCCAACTCATGGACTTGTGTGGCACTGCACTGAACCCCACTTTTCCTTCAGCCACCTTTGCTGCTTGGTGTCAGACATGGTGTTTGTCAGGGCACACACCCTGACTAGCCCGGACCCAGACCCGCATCCGGACCCACTACACTTCCCGCGTGCATTCCTGCGCCGCATGGTCCAGCCCCGGATCCTGCCTTCTGGGTATCCCCGGAAGTTTCCCTGATATGGTGGCCACTGTGGGAAGATGAGAAGTTAGCTTCCTTCTCATCTCCTTACCCACAGTAGGCAAGTGTATTCTACATTGCCTTTATCTATACATCTTCTTACCCACAGTAGGATTGTGCCCTGGATAGGGCTGGCCAGACCTGAGGCTGTGGGCCATAGGGGAGGGTCATGGGGACCTGGGAGTCGTCCCCTGACAGTAATGTGGCATAAGAAGGAGCCCATTGAGGAGAACCTGCAGACAGGCAGGCAACCGTTAACACCAGGCCCCATCTTAGGTGACAGATGGCCCTCCTCAGTTACTTTGCCCAGGCAAAGGATAAGTGAAAGTAACCTTCTGCAAAACCCCTCTGGCAATGCTGGAGAGAACCAAACAAATGGGGAGGAAAACCACTTCCCCCAAGCACCACTCTCCTGAGAAATCAGGAAAAACAACTCACCAATCTGGCGAAGCTGGTCTACTTGGAGGAACTGAGGTTCCCCCAAATACAATCCCTCCAGGGAAACCAGGAGGCTCAAACTCGACTCACCAAAGCTGAGGAAGCGGGTTGGAAGAGTGTGATTTGCCTAGAGAATGCTCTAGAAAAACTAACCAATGCAATCTCTGCATTGTCTAAACAGGGTGATGAGCCTGCCAGCTCACTAAGACCCAACAAACCCTCATGACTGTTATGAGAGCGCGATATTGTCCAGAAGCAGAGAAGGGACTCAGGAAAGGAGGGACCTTGGCCTCAGTGACTCAGGTGGAGCACTGTGCTATTGCTTTGTTGTCTAAGGTGGTCCTTAACTTCAGGTTAGCAGGGGGAGTCTCTTGGGGGGACAATCCAGTCAATTCTGGTTCTCTAGTTGTCGATTTCAGACTAGGGGTACAGGAAACTACATATGTACAGAGTGTATATATAATAATACAGGAGTGGAGTCAGAGAACAAAGGGGGACTGGAAGAGGGAACAACCCCAAGGGTCAAGGGTTGGAACTCTATGGTGCTTCCCAAAAGGGCAAGGCCAAGAGGGGAAGGAGTGGAGTGGGTTGTAGGGAATGACAGCTGACTAATGTGGAAAGGAAGCAGTCATCTAAATAAGGAAGAGGCAACAAGAGGATTAAATGACACCATACAGTAGAGACTGCAGGGTCCAGAGTAAGTTCCAGAGGTCTGGAGTCAGAAGTCAAAGTCCGGAATATTGGCAAGACGTTGTAACGGGTCTATCGCCTAGACTCAAGACAGAGAGAAGGGGGAGGGTGGTAGTGTGCGCGGGTGTGGTTCGTTGGGCCGGGTTTTGGTCCGTGGGTGCTACTGAGTCTGCAAAAACCTCAAACAAACACTCACCTACATCTCTCTTGGACGTCAAGGCTGAGTAGTATGATGAGAGGGGTCTTAGACGTTATCAACTAGCTCAATGGGGGCGTTAGGGTCGTGGATGGCGTCTTTGCCACTTGGATGCAACTTCTGCTTGTCCCTTCACGGGTCTATTCAATACTAACTTGTTATGTACAAGCTGTTATCTAGTTTATATATGTTGGAAATGGAATGAATGGACTGGGGGAATGTAAACGGGCCGTTAGGCAACCGTAAATGATGAATATCCAATTGGGAACAAAGAAACAATAAGAGAAATATGAATGAATGGGGAAAATGTGACAACGGGTCCGAAATGGGAATTGTGAAAATTAACTCCGCAACAGTTCGCCACAGCGCCCGCCTATCCTCCCGTCAGCAACCTCCTCGTCTCCAGCTTTCCAACGAGCCCTTATTCGTCCCAATTGGTGCAGTGGTTCTTGAGATATGGAGAGGGGGTGAAATTGGCGGCGTGGTTGGGCGTGGGAATTTTGCTTGGGGTTGTCGGGAATGATGGGGAAAATAAGGAAAAATAAGGAATGGGTGTATGGAGTGTTGGATAGTGATAGAATGAGCATAGGGAGCGTCAGCGGGTATGTAGTGGGTGTTTGTGGCCAAATTCCGCAGAATCCGACTTTTTGCGGTACACGGAGTTGTCCCCACAACATATAGGCCTTGCTCTTGATCGTGGTCCCTCACGATATCCTCAACATCCTTAATGTATAAATAAAACGAGTGTGATTGTAATACGAAACGGCAGGCACGTTGCATTGGCAAGTGGATAAATACATGGGCCCGGGCGGTTGGCTTATCATGAGGAGGGGGCAGCGGATTCCTGACTAGAACTCCTACGTGACACTGAGGTCTTCCTTGAGGCAGAATCCTCTTCATTATGGGCCCGTGCTTGCCCTTTAACATCTTGCTCCGCCTTAGGGTGTTCATCCATGGGGCTGGGAGACTTAAGTACTGGCTCGACGTCAGCGGGTGCGTCCTTGGGGTCTCTGGGGATCACAGCGGGTGGTTGGAATTCAGGCGTAGTGCCAACAAACTTCTTGACGGAGTCTTTGTCTATGTCCCTAACCCGATGGGTCCACTCATTGGTCTTCTCCGTGAAATCCCTTGCAAGTGAAATCTTTGGCGCTGGTACTATGGCTACGGGCATCTCACTTGGTCTAGTGAGACTATCAGCGGGTGGTGCAACCTTCTGGACAGGTGGCGCCACGGGAGTTGAACCTAGGAATGGCAATGCCGTTCTTCTAGGTGCTGTCTTGTTGTCTACTAGCGCCATGGACTGGTCTAACTTGGCTTGGAGCTCACATATAGCACGCTCACTATCTGTCTCTTGCTGCCAGATGGGGGATCGTCGGGAGGCGCGTCTGCCTTCTTGAAGTCTTTCGTGGCTGGGTTCTGGTGGGCGGTGTCGATAGCGTCCTCGACTCCTACGGCGACGTGTGTGTGGCGCATTAGGGTTTCCATAGCCCATGGAGCACTCGAAGGGAGGCAGGGGGTGATGGTTGATCTCGCATTGCGTTATTTTCAAGGGGGTTTTGCCATTAGTTGGGCCGCTGGTCTCAGTGGTGGGAGCGGCAACGAGCATGGGGCTTTTGTCCGAGTGTATAACCTCAATAGTCGGCCCGCCCAATAATAACTTGACTTCTAACTTATGCTCAGGATCACTTCGCGTGGAATAAGAGTTTTGAAGAATATAAGAGTCCTTCCCGCCCCAGGATAGCCAATAAAACAGGTCAGGGGGACCAGGGGGGAGAGTCTTCAGGTCAACATCTTCCTTGAGCTGAGTGGCATGGCGGAAATCCCGAAATCGTGTGTCCTCATCGATGAACCTCTCGAGTTCATATCCACGTTGGCTTGGATGGAACCTCAGGTCTGGATTCTCGGTTCTGGCACGCATTCGCTCGTATTTCTCTCGCCAATACTCAGCTAACTTCTCACCCTTGAGTTCCCAGGGCTTGGGCGGAGTCAGGTGTCTAGGCTTAGTGGCGTAGGACGCATAATTTGCCTCGTTGTCTGGTTCCTCATAACCTTCGGAAAGCTTAACGGGTTCTCGGATTATTGACTCTTCACCATCTAACTCTTGCAACACAAGGGCGCCGCTGCGAAGTCTCTTGTCTACCATATGCGGTCCTAACCATCGCAGCTGGCTTGGAGGGAACTCCAGATCTGAATTCCCGACACGATTGTCATAACTGTTGGAGCTAAGCTCTTGGGATCGGCATAAGTAATCCTCATGGCTCCCGCTGGAGCGTTCGCGGCTTTCTGGCGGGTGTGTGACTTCAGTGACTTTGGCGTGGACAACGGGCTTCTCTTGTGCAGTCAAGAAGTTAGCAAGAAAACAAATTTCAAGTCCAGTGAAGGACTTCGGTGCAATGCGAGCTATCATTGCTGCCCCCGTTGATCCAGGCTTGACAACGGTACATCCAGTCTCTGAGTTCTGAGCGATCACAGGCGACGACTCTGCAACAACGGGCTCATGATGCATGCACGGGAATTCTTGTGCTGCAGCCATTCCCTTAGCGATATCGACGTGCTCGACAATTCCCGTGGAATCCAACCCAGACAATGCCAAGGGACCTGTAGCAGCTCTTGAATCCTCAGCATGGGCTGCTTCCCGTCCTTCTAGAACATAGTCAAGGCCGTCAGGCCTTGGCTCTTTAAGCTTTTGCTCCGGCAGTGCTGTCAAAGATGTCACTCGGGTTGCCGGCTCAGGGCAATTTGAGGTGTATATGAGACTAGAATCGTGCATGGGGAATGGAAAGCATTCCATCTGTTCAGTATAATCCGTGAATCCCAGACTATGGGGTGCCTTGGAAGGTATCCAAGCATTCTTAAGCGCTTTAAGGACTTCTAGATCTTCCATGTTACGGTTCGCTAGTACATGATCGAGGCCGTCAGGCCTTAGCTCTTTAAGTTCTGTCTGCGGCATGGTGAATGTCGAAGGAATGCAGCTCGGGAATTGTGGCGGCTCTGATGTCTGGGGATCTGACCCAGATCTCACAGTACTAATGTCGTATGTGGTGGCGGCAGCTCTCGCGTAACGACGAGCTTGAACAGGATAAACATTTCGCGGGGCATTCATAATCGGAAGTTTGATGCGGACGGATGCTCCGCTATCTCGGTTTCCCTCGTTCCAGACTTGAATTACCATTCCTACATCGTGCATATACTCGATCTTAGTAGAGTGGCCGAAGAGCCACGGTTGACCTAGAATCATATCCTTTCCATGAAGGGTATCTCGCGTAAGAAAGAAGTTATGGGTAACTTCAATTCCCCCGATGGTAACGGGTACGTCTCTACATAGACCTTCTAAGGCGACTTGGTGTCCAGATACACCGCGAAGAGTCCACATGGCGCCAGTAGGGTCGACTGGAAGTTCTAGAGCATAAGCTTGCTCGCTTGTCATGATGTTGAGCTCGCTGCCGGTGTCAATTAGCATAGTGCAAGGACGGTTGCTAATCTGTCCTTGAATCTTCGCGGTTACCATAGCCAAAAATGAAGGTTTCTTAGACGTAGTAGGGATAACCTCTTGGGAGTCAGCAAGGAAAAGGTGATGGAAGGGAAGTGGGGCTCCAGAGTCAGTCTTGGAGTTCTGGGAGCCTGGAGCGGAGGTTGGGATTGTACGGTGTAGGAGAAATAACGGTCACACTATGGAAACCCATTATGAAAATATGCCAGATAAATCACAAAACCCCATACGACAAGTAGATATGAGAAAATAGAAGAACCTGAATTTTAACAAATTTTTACGAATTATTATGACTACATACGATAAATTGGAAGAAAGAAAATTGGCAAAAATACTTCAAGCTTAGCATCAACAAGACGGAATTCTCGGGGGAATTTATGGCAAATATTAAACAAGAAATTAGGACAATCGACGAAGATTTGACTGTAAAAACAACCAGAGAACCTCCATGGAAACTACTTTCCCACACCTGCACATGTAGCCAAGGATGGAAGTACCATGGAACAAGGATTCCTTAGGAACCAATGCAAAATTCAAAGTCATGTTTATAATAGGAAATGTAGATGTCTCTCAAACGGACCCAATGAAAGTAATTACAGGAAAAACTACCCATAAACAACAGAGATATGACCAAAACTCTCGGAAAACGAGGACAATGTTTAAAAGGCAAGCACAAAGAACAAGCAGTAATGACCGAGACGAGCTTGATGGCCCATTAGAAAGGAAGGGATCTAATCTTAATCCACCCAGATTTTCATAATAAAAGGTTCACGCATCAATGAGATATCCAATAACAGGAAGAGCGACATCAAAAGTCATGGCTCAGGGAAAAGACGACGTTTACGTAGGATCCATATTTGAAACACACAACGAAATTTACACGGAAATTATGATAAATAGGAAACTATAGTTATGCAAAGTTTCAGCCCAAACGGTCCAGCCGTTGTGAAGTTATACCAACAACGGGAATATAGAAATCTGCATCATGTTTAAAGACATGTGAGGGTGGCGATGCAAAGGGAACTGGCCATCGGAACCGAGATCCGCACTTTGGCAGATCGCGAAGACCAATTTCCATTCAAATAAGGAAGACCCCGATCAAAACAAAGCACAGAAAGTACAAAACAACCTTAGATCATGAGGGAAAAATCTGAAATAAATCAAGGAAGCCTGTATAAAGGATACAAACACCCATTGAAGGAGAGAACGAAGGAAGGTCAGTTGGGAGGTTCAAACGAGACCACCACCAAGCTGTTCCCTGGTTCTTTAGTTAGGATGGGGAAGTGTACTAGTGTTGTTTATTGTAAATATAGTACCAATCCGAGTGTTTTGGCTAATTCTATTGTTATGGGTTAGTTTTAAAGTTCCTGGGAATTGACTTACAGATAAACCGAGCCCTGCGGAGCTGTTTCTTTATTGAAATTTATTAATTTGTCTAGGTGTAATTCTGTGTAGCATTGTTTAATTTGGATTTAAACTTGAATTTAATCTTCTACTTGGTGAAGTTTCAAAGATTCTATTCAGTTAATGAATTTGGATGGTGTCTGGAGTGTCCCTTGAGTTTGTTCTATTTTTGTCTTATTTTATTGCTTTTTTTAACAGTAGCAAAATAACTGTTTTGTGTTTACACTTTGAAATCTGGAGTGTTAACCAGCTCTCCTGTTGAAATATCTACTTAATATTTCTCTCCTTAATTGCTGCCTTTTACTACAGTGGCAATCTTAACTGTATATCACTTTTTCGCACTGGAGTGACAACCAGAAATGCTTGAGAAAAATAATACTCTATTTTCTTACTTCTCTAAGGGGGGCGAAAAGTCGCAGAAAGGGTCTCCCTTTTATACTCCTTGGGTCGCCTTCCTTTTTCACGCTCTACCTTCTATTTACAGGATTTATTTACAGTGTATTTTTCTCAAACTTGTCATATCCATACAATCCCGACCTCCGCTCCGGGCTCCCGGAACTCCGAACCTGACTTCCGGAGCCCTACTTCCCTTCCGTCACCTTCTCCTTGCCGACTCCCAAAAGGTTATCCCACCTCCGGCTCGGACACCACCTTCGGTCCGACTCCGGAACATTCCGGGTCCGACCCCAACCTCAACACCTTCCAGACGAGTACACAACACCTATGTCCCCGACTCCGGACCTCCGCTCCGGAATCCCGTTGGCGTCTCTGTCTCCGGAACCTCCGGTCTTAGCTCCGACCTCGGACTTTGACCCCACCTCCGCTTATACCCATTGTATTGGTTAGCTCATTCCATTTAATTACCTTTGCCAATATTCCGGAGTTTAACCTCCGAGTTCGGACTTTCCGGACTTACTCCGGACCTTGCAACTATTGCATTGTCCATTTCAATTCCGCTATTCTCCCTCATTCCTATTTGGGCTGCTGCTTCCTTTCTATTCAGTCAGCTAGCCATTCCCAACTCCCATCCTCCTTCCTTCCTTCTTGGGCCTTGGCCCTTCATTCCTCCTTTGGGAAACACCATTGAGTCAAACACTTGACCCTCGGTGTTGCTCCTCTTTCCATCTCCCTTTGTCTCCTTTTGTCCTACCCTTGTCCCTTTTGATTCCGGACCCCTCCTTATATACAATGTACCTAGTAACTTGTAACCTCAGTCCGAAATCAACTTGAATTCCCCCCAAGAGACTTTCCCTCTGCTAGATCCGAAATTAGGGACCCCTAGGACAACCAGCAATGGCACAGCGCTCCGCCTGAGTCGCTGAGGCCAAGGTCCTTCCATGCTAAGTCTCCGATTCCATTCCGGAGTCGTCCGAATCCGCGCTGTAGGAGAAATAACGGCCACACTATGGAAACCCATTATGAAAATATGCCAGATAAATCACAAAACCTCATACGACAAGTAGATATGAGAACATAGAAGGACCTGAATTTTAACGAATTTTACGAATTATTACGACTATACACGATAAATCGAAAGAAAGAAAAATAACAAAAATACTTCAAGCTTACCATCAACGAGACGGAATTCTCGGGGGAATTTATAGCAAATATTAAACCAAGAATTAGGACAATCGACCAAGATTTGACTATAAAAATAATCAGAGAACCTCCACGGAAACTACTTTCCCACGTCCGCACACATAGCAAGGATGGAAGTACCACGGAACAAAGATTCCTCAGGAACTAATGCAAAAGTCAAAGTCGTGTTTATAATAGGAAATGTAGATGTCACCCAAACGGAACCAATGAGAGTAATTATAGGGGAAACTACCCATAAACGACGGAGATATGACTAAAACTCCTGCAAAACGAGGACAATGTCTAAAAAGCAAGCGCGAAGATTAACTAGTAACGACCGAGACAAGCTTGATAGCCCATTAGAAAGGAAAGGATCATGCGTTAATGAGAAATCCAATAACGGGAATAGCGACATCAAAAGTCCGAGCTCAGGGACAAGACGATGATTGCGTAGGATCCATAATTAAAACATACAACGAAATTTACACGGAAAATATGAAAAATAGGAAACTATAGTTATGCAAATTCTCAGCCCAAACGGTCCAGCCGTTGTGAAGTTATACCCATGGCGGGAATATAGGAATCCGCATCATGTGTAATGACACGTGAGGGTGGCGATGCGCAGGGAACCGGCCGTCGGAACCGAGATCCGCACTTCGGCAGATCGCGAAGACCAATTTCCGTCCAAATAAGGAAGAGCCCGGTCAAAACAAAGCACGAAAGGTGCAAAACAACCTTAGATCATGAGGGAAAAATCTGAAATAAATCACAGAAGCCCATATGAAAGAAATAAACACCCGCGCATATCATAAATCCCGAACAACTAAACTAAAACGGCTCCCGCATACGAACAACTATGGGAACGACGCACGTGATTACCGAATGTGCGCGTGAAACTTTGCTAACTCAACGAATACAGGGAAATAGGACACAACCTTAGTACCATTGGAAAGGTGGGAATAAATGGAAATTTATGATACCAAGAACGTGAGAAAACATCCAGAAATGAATGAGATACAAGGACATGAAGTTAGAAACCTGAAAACACGCGGGAAGACAGCTTCAAGAGGTCTAGAGCCCTAAATAAAATACATAAAAATATGATATCTTCGAGGACGACCTACTATAACAACGAACAATACATATGGAGGATTAGGATGTGATAATACAAAAGGGAATCAGGGAATATGAACGAAATTCACGAAAACTACTAAACTACGACGGACCATGGCGGGAATTTTAGGGAACGATGTTCTAATGAAGTAGAGAGCTATAACACATTCGTTTGAGTAATTCTTGATTACTAGCAACTTTTTCTTTCAGTTTTAAACCTGAATAATTCACTCATTTATCATTTCAGTCTCATTTTAACTAAAATGTCACTAAATAAAATTGGAATAAATCAGCTGAAGGTCTCAGCACAGTCGCACGCATAGTAATGCGAGGTTTGAATTCAGTATGACCGAGTCATAGCGAACTTAATGGGAAATATGGGGAATTTGAAATAGGGAACTGCGGCAAATGCGGCGCAGACAAATTCTAATTAACCATTAAAATAGCTTAGGCGAGGAAGGACAATAAGGATTCCAGGCGCAGTCTGACCGCAGTAGACCGCAGTTCAGTGCAGCAAAGCGCAGCGGAACTATAGCGTGAAAATTTCACTTTTTATTCAGTTTGAGAAAAATACACTGTAAATAAATCCTGTAAATAGAAGGTAGAGCGTGAAAAAGGAAGGCGACCCAAGGAGTATAAAAGGGAGACCCTTTCTGCGACCTTTCACCCCCCTCAGAGAAGTAAGAAAATAGAGTATTATTTTTCTCAAGCATTTCTGGTTGTCACTCCAGTGCGAAAAAGTGATATACAGTTAAGATTGCCACTGTAGTAAAAGGCAGCAATTAAGGAGAGAAATATTAAGTAGATATTTCAACAGGAGAGCTGGTTAACACTCCAGATTTCAAAGTGTAAACACAAAACAGTTATTTTGCTAC